ACCCAATATAAAACACCAATCCCAAATGGGCTTGTTTCTATTCTGGGTTTTCTATTTCGATCACGGTATTCACCTTTAGTGGTTATGAATGAAGAAAGTAGTGTAGTGAAGCGTGCTGATCTTGTTCTAAAGAAGAGTAGTAGAGTAAGAAATATAAAAGTAATTTTACACTTACCTGCTAAGAGACCGATAGTGCGACTTCTGTGGTGTCCCCGGATTGGATAACCTTTCAACCATATTTGTCAAGGAAGTTAGCAAAAATTCAGCAGTAATTTTTATTGATGCGTATCATGAAGTAACCGAACTATAGAAAATAGAATAGCTTTTGAGGGATATATGGGGAAAAATAAGAAGTAATTGGTATCCTTAATTAGTGCTGTGATATTTTCCCACCTGCTTTCTGTGGGACACTTAAAATATACTTACATGCTTGAAGTGGATTAGAGCTAGGGCCACATAGCAGTAAATAGTTTTCTGCTAATGCGCATAGAATACAATCAAGGAAAAGGAAGTAAAAATGGATTTTTTTCAATAAAAAGGAGTTCAATTGTAATTTTTCTTAGGGAAATTTTCCTCCAAATTATGTTAAATGATAAACCAAAGTGCTTATCGCCGTAAACACCTATCATCAAATCGCAGTTGTTATAGGACGTTCCTCGAATCTGAAGTGTCCAATACGAAACGAAGAAAAGATTTATATGAAAAGATGACAGCTATAGATCCTGAAGAGCCGACACCGGAGGAACGAGCATGTGGGGAAATCACAAAACTGCGATATATGCAGTTCCGAGAACGAGAAAGCAGCTCGGCTGAACTCGGATTCCGTATTGAAGCCGCTAAGGTGGGACTCGCTGCACTTCTTTAAAATGCTGTTGTTAGAAAGTTGAGAATAATCTTCTCAAATTTAGATGCCTGGCGGTACTTTACAAAAGAACTTCAAGAAGATTCGCACGTACGAGGATGTAACCCTTACTTTAATCGAATTTTTCGGAACGGACCGGGAAAGAATCCGAAGCAGATTGCTAGCGAGACT